CCCACCGTCACAGTTTATCGTTTTCCCTTGTGGTACCTAGGTTCATTTACAATAATAAACTCACAGTCAAGTACCGCGATCACAGAAGACCAACTTCCACAGTATATCTAATTTGTTTACCTACACAAATACAGCGTGTCCTGTTGCGCAGGAGTTACCCAAAAGGCGAATTCTGCACTACCCGCCTAAGCTAATTATTCCCTCATGATAGAAACCCCCTACGGGAAGAAAGTTGAACCTTGCCAATTGTTCATTATCAGTTGGCCGCCCCCCTTACTGGTAATGCACCAATGAGCATTGATTCATCGACTTTAGGGTTCTACAAAGAATAGCACAAACTTCCACATGCCTATGAAAAAACAAATTGCCAAAAGTAATCGACCTTGATATGACCCCAATCAACTTAATGCATATCCACAGCAACTACTGTGGATTAAGTAAGATTTTCATATTAAATTTGCACTATCTATTCAGGATTGATGGTGATTAGGAAGCTTGTCAATGTTCGAACCGCTATCAATCGGGTCTTTTCCACAGTCATGATCACAGTGGTTAGATGAAAATAGTCGACACACGACAGCTTCTCCTCTTTTGCTATTCCCGACTGAATACCGAATATTAACTTCAAATACCGTTACATTCTTCAGACTTCCCCATTGTCCACACCTCCCCTACGTTTAGCTATCAAATCTAGTTCAGTGTAGGTTTGGAGTTAGTAAGTCCATGAATTAATGTGAAACGCACTCTTAAATAGATAAATATTTCGTTCTATTGCATGGCTTTAGAAAAATTATAATTCAATGGAAGATAAAGATCCCTAATCACCTTAGCGTAGAGGGGATTACTTTCACAATTGTACATTTCTGGTCCAGCTGCATCTCTGAGATTGCGTATCGCGGATACAATTGGCCAAGACGTTTCTTCGAAGGAGGAGGTGAAGAAGACGCTGAGACCGGGAGGAGGCTGCATGAGTCTGCGCGAAGACCGTGACGCCTCTTCCGCCTCCCACTTCTTTCGATTTGCAGTGGCACGCAACTGCATGATCCACTCACGTCGAGAATTCGCCGTGGAAGAACGCTCCACGCTCGAAGAGCGCTCTTTGTAGCGCTGATTGCCCTTGAGGAGGACGGCGGAAGAGTGAATTGAACGCAAGAGGGGAGTGCGAAGGAAGTGACGAGTTGACAGCATTGCTAATGTTAGTGAAAAAAATAAACGAAAATTTATTTCGCTACAACTCTAACATCTTCGACTTTGCTTGTTGCCCTAGCTCTAAAACTGTCGATAAGCCAAAGACAAATAGTTGACGAGATTTTGATGTCTAGCGGCACGACAAAAATCGTTACACACAGAACGAATAACGAGCGGCAAATAATAGCCACCAAAGTTGGAAATGGTCAACAAATGCCAAAATGCGCTAACTACCATTTCAATTAATTTAGAAGAATATAATGCCCAAGAATATTTATTCAGACGTAAATGAGTTTTTTGCGGGCTGACGCATTATCATTGCTACCGTAGCGTTCATGACTCAAATCGAGCATATGCTTATTATGAACTTGAGCACTAAAAAGTACCGCATGGCAAATAAACCAAAGGCGAGTAATGTCCTTAAATGTACGGGCCAAGCATGCTTATTTGCTAACATAAAAATAAATACAGTTAAGTAAGAAAGTTAGGGATCTACAGGCAGTTAAGTAAAGTAAAAGACTCTGTGGAGCTCAGAAAATACTCTTAAACTAAAACGTTCCAACGATAGTGACACCCAAACGGTGCTTTAAAATCACACAAAAGTGCCATTACAGTGTGATGCTTATAGGGAACTGCAAAATAAGGTTTTAAATCGATTGAACAGATTAGATGGGGAACTAGATCGTTAAATTTTGTAACAGAAGCTATAATCAAAAGCTTTATAATAAAAAGTCAGCAAAAAATTTGTGAAAATAAATAAAAAATTCTGTACAACGACTACGGGACGATCAATTCGAACTAGGTTTACCGTATGAAAGTAAATATGAATACGCAAACGAAACGCATAAGCTACAAAATTCAAAACTAAGAAAATAAAAATGGAAGGCGTAACCAAGGTTAATTTTAGTAAGAAAAATGCCAATTTATATTTATATAAATCAAATAGCAACACAATATTATTGAATGACATGACAGTCTAATATATTATGACCAATCAACAATTACATGTGAAATGCGTAGCCACTTTCGCTCATATATTACCCACAACCTTAGCGCAGATAAATGAGACCACAAATGGAGATCGCAAATGGAGATATTCTGACTATAATTTTTAAATTTATCCACTTATTTGAAATATTAATTTAAAAATGCTTCAAAATTGTGTTTACCTGTTGCTTTCAATATTGCAAAACAAAATTTTCATTACTGTTTAATTGCTCGCTCATAAAGTATACCTTTATGCTATTTTTCCTAAGAATTTTGCATATAAAATTCCTTCTTTCACATTAAAGAATTTATACGAATAATGGGATAAGATTCATGTCATGATATACTAAGACTTCTCAGACAATCATTACTGTTAATTGAATTATATGTTTATGGTATTTTTGTTATAATTTATTTTATTTAGTAACTATTGACGATTATTTAATATATTGTTAGATGTTAAGTAGGGCACTTTTACACTTACCAATAATAAAAGCCTTAAAAATAATGGGCCATAACTTTTGACAAATTATTTAATTGATTGGAATTTTCCTTTGAAATATGCGGTTGTCAGAACGACAACTCAATCATTCTCGATGTACTAAATTTCTTTCCCAAATTAATACAGCCTGTTTCAATGTTAGCTAGAGTAATTAAAATTCTGATGTAGTTCATTCATTCAAAATTCAAAATGAGTGATTTCGTAAATAGCTAAGAAACTGATTGTAGCCGTAAGAAAAGTATGCAAACCTAAAATTCAATTTATTTACAACTTTCAATATTGAGCATATATTATTGTGTAGTAACTAAAATGAATACTTAATTGTTTTGATCAATTGTTATTAATGCCAATGAAACACTGAGGATTCATATTACTTACCGACAACTAATTTATTCGAATGATAATCAATTATAAGCATAGTAAGCCAAAATATAAACGTATTATGAATTAAGAAAAATAGTTCTCAATTGAACAAAGTAATGCACTTTCGACCAATTTTGGTTCATACAAACTTCATTTTATCCCCAGAATGCACAAAATCAACGTGCTTTTTATTAAAGCAATATGGCCATAACTATGCCTATGTAGGTTAACACATTTCAACCCACACCTTAAATAGATCAGTAGAGATAGGAAGAATTCTAGTAAAATTTTCCATTCATCTCGATGCCATTAGAATTTTTTTAAAATAAATAACCAATGTGCATAAAATCGAAGTTAGATAACCATTGAGAATTAAAGTTCAGTTTCTATAATTACCCTAGATTTCAATTTGCACTTAATTAAATGCGAATTAATCAAAATTCGTTTCGAGAATAAATGCGCAAATACTCAATGCCGCGAAGGCATATATAAAATCATCAACGAGAAACCGCGAGATATTTGCGCTTTGAAGAAAGGGAGATAATGGCTGCTAATCCAAACCAAGTCACTCAGAGTTCCATACTTAGTCTTCTGGTTAATTACTTCCTCTATAAGAAAGTTTTTGACGGTGATTCGAATAATGGATGCTGCTGCTGTTGCAGACCCACGTGCTGCTGTTGTGGTTAATTTTAAGCATTTTTCATGAAATAAACAATTTTACACTGAAAAATGGTTTCCTTTTAATGTTAAATCCATTAACAAATATGGTAAGCCAGTACTTATAGTAATAATGACAGTAAATATTCAGATCCAAATCAAAGGGTCTGGGGAACTTTCTGGAAAGCGAGATTGCGATATCTATCGCGTATCGTGCAGGTGTTACGTGCCTGCAGAGTGTTTCCTCTCATCGGCGACCAATATTCTTGCAGTGAGGCACGATATCTTCTGTTCTCATGAAATTTTTAGAGGCAGTTCAACTTATTTTCGAAACAATTTATCCTAGAGAACTCTCCTAGAAGCCAACTGAACTTCTATGGCAAATTGTATTCATGAAAATAATTAAACTTACTCCCATCTTGTGTCAGACCATTTCCAGAGAACTTTTACGGGGTAGGGGAGAGGGCAATGAGAAGTTTTCATTGCCTTTAATTCTACTTTAAAACCTACATCAAATCGATCGAATTAATAATTTTTTCTCTACTAGAATTCAATATGACGAATTGGACATTTATAAAGACTAGAAAAATTGTTTTTTTTCTCTTTGCTTGGGAAACAACAGCTTATGTCATTCAAAAGAGACCGCATTCAAGACGCGCGGGATGTCATTCATTCGAGGAAGCCAAAAATACATCCCCTTTAAATAGGCGTTGGCAGATAATTTCTACTCCCTTGCACTAATTGATGGCAGTGTCTTAATGCATTTTACCCAGACACATTTCTAAGCTTATGGCCATTTGGGTACCACACATAGTTAAGTTTGTTAAGTGCAGATTTATCCGCTATGATCGAGGAAGAGTTTAATTAGTAGAAATCGTCATTTGACACCAAGCGTGAACACCAAAATTAGTTGTATGTTGGTATTCTCATGTTTTATTATTTTTAAACTTATGATAAATCCAGCGGTTTTCAGTGCGTCCTATTAACTAAAACTTGAAATTCATGCACCAAATTGCTTAATACCTGTATAGAATGCGACCTTTATAAATTATGAAATTGTCAGTGTGATTAACTACGTAAGCGGAGGTCATAAAATTGCTATTCATTGGTTGCGTTGATGACTAACAGCCAGAATTAACTATGGCCTAGGCTAGAAATGATTCGGTGTGATTTACCTTGAACATTGACTCATGAATTCCTCCTCTACCATTCCAGCAAACAATTATCACTTTTTTTCAAGGCAAGGAATCAAAATTTTAGAAGCGGTTTTTGCTAGAATTCAACTTCGGCCTAAAAAATTAGTAAAGTATTTCAGAATTCATCGATGTAATAGTATAAAACGACCTTCATCTAAGTAAAATATGACGGCTCTACCGATTGTGCTTATAGTCTTTTACATCTTCATTGCGTTTAACCGACGTAAGCCGATGTCCCCCTCCCCTCAAATGCTTATTACAATACAACTACAGGAAGATTATCAATCAATGCCATGAAAATTTTCCTTCCCATCTGATTGAGAAGCTATTAACGAGGCGAGCAATACTGTAGTATCCGGGGTTTACGATAGACTTACCTCCACGTGGTGCACCTGGGCAACTTATACTCATACGGCAAAAACGTCAATAGACCGGCAGTTTACTTCTGACTTCAAACTACCATGACCCCACTGTATGTCATATTCGACCCCTTCCACAGTACTCGTCTTACCTTTTCTCTGTCTTTGTGTCTGTCTGGCTCTTTTACATCTGTGAATCATTATTCTGCCCCCCCCCCCTTCTCGACTTTTCGCCACTTTGCTGTTTCTTCCCTCGGGGTGTGCGATAGACTTACCTCCACGTGGTGCACCCTGGGCAACGTATATTTCTACGGCAAAAGTCTATTGACTGGCAGTTGACTCCTCACTTCAAATTACCATCACCTCACTCTATCCCATATTCGACTATTTACACAGTACTCACCTCACCTTTGTTCTACCTTTGTGTTTGTCTCTTGCATCCTTGAAACACTCTTCTGTTTCCCCCCCCCCCCTATCGATTTTTCAATTTGATGTTCCTTTCCCTCTGTGAAGCCTGAAGTCAACTAAAGGGCTAATGATAACCATCAAGACGCCTGCCATTTGATATAAATAAATGTTCCTTCCCTCTGCGAAGTTTGAAGTCAGCTAAAGGGCTAATGATAAGTATCATAATGCTCGCCGTTTGAAGTAAATACTGTAGTATCCACAAGTCATATTTCACTTAATGTTATAATTCAAAAGTTGAAGTTCACCTTCAAGATTGTGGACAATTCTTATATATACGATGTACTGAAAAGGCTAGTATTTCCATTGTAATTAATTTTTTTACCTAATTAAGAGAAGGGGAGTTGAGAGGAGGAGGTGGGGGGGAGGGGGGCGGTGAAGTTCGCAGTTAGAAGAATTTCCTCGGTTTGTTCTGTCCCATATTGTGACGCATGTTCCAACCATCACATGTAACGAATATTATTTAAAATA